GCAGCAATGAACTTAGCTGGACGCGACGTGCTTCATCGCGAGACGGGTACGAGTGGCGATGTTCAAAAAAGGGTTGCGATGGAATGGCTTCAATGCGCCGGAATTCACCGGTGCGCACACACAGGGTATCGAAAATACATGGTGGGGAATCAAGCGAGGTTTGCCCCAAACAGGAACATCCAAAGGACTTTTCGATGGCTACCTACAAGAATATATGTGGCGTCAGCACTACGGAAACGATCCCTTTGGAAACATTATCGAACATATCGCCCAACTTTATGAAGTCCAGAAAGACTAGATACAAAGGTTTCTTTGCATCGCTGTATGCACCGGCCTTCACGAACAATTTTCATCACTAGGACACGAAAGGATAATGAGAGAATCAACCAAAACCACAAGAACAGGTAAGACACACCATTTATTTAAACTTTGCATTGATAAACTTCAAAGCCTGACCGTAGACTTAACGTTATTTTCCGGCCAATTTTACGCCTTCAAAGCGAAACTGAACATGAAATTATATTTCAAAATTAAAAACCTCTGGAAAATGCCTTAAATTTCTCGTTTTGCAAAGTCAAAACGCGCCGAATTTACCCTGTTTCAAAAAAGACTTAGAAAAAAAAATCCAAATTTTGAAAACAGAGACTACTAGTCTCTGCAGAGTTGTATTGTTATCGTTATTGTTTTCATTGAACAAAGACTGAATGCATAATTAATGTATGGGGTTATATGGTACTCTTGCCCAGAAGTTTGCGTGATATATAAAAGTAAAGTCGGTCTTCTCAAAGCGAAGATGTTGTACACTGAAGGGACTTTTATGTAGGTAAGAGGTGCTTATTTCATTACTGGTCTTTCTTATTTCGATGTCTTGTACCGTTTCTCTTGATTTAGAGCACAATTCCATTTTTGTTCTCGTAGCCGAACGTAAACAAACGAACTGAATACATTTTGGACCGGGCTGGAATCCCGTGATTTTAATGTTGATGACCTTTTTTTACCTGATAGAAAAAATTATAGTGGATGGCCGATTTACAATTGGGAGCTCCATCCGTATTGGATGGACACTTTAACTAAACACCTACAAAATTAGAGATGATGTTTACTTTAATGTCACCGTCGCTTTAGAGTGTCTTGGTCTCCAAAAGCACGTAAAAAAAACATGGCTTCAGTTTTATTGACAAGTTTCTTTCTAAGAATGGTAAGTTTCCTTCACCTTTTGCATAAGTTATTGAAATGGTTGTAAAATAAATTTATTATGAATAATTTTTAAACAAGAACTTCATCAACTTTGAAGTTGTATTGGTTATCATTTGTATGTTAACAGTGGTGGAATTTATTTAAGCAAACACTTAATTAACATGTTGATGAAAATAATTTCTGGTTTCGAAAATATTATGAGCCACAGTACGGTATACTTGCATCCAGTCACAAAGGACAAAAGACAACCACACTCTGATATAAGTCTTCTCCCCAGGCATTCAAAACAGCTCTGTGCTCAACAGCAGTAGAGACGTTATTAGTTATGCAGCATTTGTGATGTTAGCCATGAGATACCAAGGTACAGAAAACAGCGTTGAACCTCTACGAAAGCGATTGTTAGGCCCAATTCTACTTCCACCTACTGGACTGATTGGCACTCAAGCACCCATTGTAGAACTATTATGTTCACTATGTAGAACCTTCATCAATTTTGACATCGTTTAACAATATTTTATTATTATTACGAATCAACTTAACGGCATGCTCCCAGATGGCTTGTTAGCTCAATTGGTAGAGCGCTGCATTAGTATCGCAGAGGTCAGTGGTTCGAATCCCGTACAGGCCTGATTTTTTTCAGGTCTGATTTTCGCTATTGCACAAATAGCGCTATCTACTGCGAAGGATCGTGTATCATACAGACTCTGCAATATTTATCATCCTTTCCGACATATTTGTCAGTAGGAAGTGGTTTGTGGGGGCACACTTAGAGAGCCGGAGGACTTCCCAGGATAGCCTTACGTCAAATACAACTTTTAACTTAATTCTTTCATTTTTATACGTTCGTGGTGCATAAGATATCGTAATTTGTCGCAAGCACTCCCCAAGTCACTTTGCGGTGCAAGATTAAATTCAAAACAACTGAGTCACGTTCTAACGATTTTAGTCGATACTTAAAAATTGTGTTGCACTGTTTCCTTTTCTTCCATCCACACCCGAAGAGGTTTATCAAGAGTGAACGTATCCTCGCTTCTCAACTGGAAGTATTCCTTAACTCTAGAAAAGAGCTGTTTTAGGAATTTAGTATATTTTATAAGTGATCTTGCAATTGCGAAATCCACTCAATATATTCTAATAAGCTGAAGAGAGATTTGATGGCCAAAATAGGGACAATTGATAATGCTGTTGATATTATCATTGCAAGTCTCGACCGCCTCATGTCAAATGTGCAAAGTGGATCTCATTACCTTCATCAAACCAGCAATACATCTCAACAGACGTTCTCGAAATTCTTGAGTTTTGAAAATGTTTCAAAATCATACAGGATGTCATAGCCTCAGGCGATAATTATGAAATGACGAGGTTTGCATGACGCAACGATCTTACAGTCAGTGCTCGAGGACCTTAACTCATTCGAGGTCATTTGTGACGAACTGTAGACGGTGATGGATGCTCCGAGGTATTTTGATATTTTCAACAGATTGAACTCTTAGTGAGCTATCAGTAAGCATTAATAAACAACAGAGCTATTGATGAGATTGAAAAACTTGATCTTTAATAAATCGTTTAAAACCTTAAGACCTTGAAAAGGTAATGAGAAAACAGGCGCATTAATGTAACGAAAGCGTTACCTCGATTATGAAAGCGGTCGACTCTACCTTTTATAAACTACGCAATCGTATATGCGTATAGCACAGACCATTGCACTAAAAATCTTAATTGCTTTGTTTTATTTTCCTTTAGACCACACATCGAAATTGTCGGTTTATTCAACCCAGGTTTGTTTTATGAAAGCTCCAATTTTAAACTCCAAAGAAGCTTTATTTGTCAAATGACTAGACTAGATGTGGAATTGCTTACAACATCTGAAGAAAAACGCTGTGGGACCAGATCTCATTCCCTTTTGGATTTGGAGGGATCACGCTGAGATCTTTACAAGTGTCATTCATAAGATCTGGAATGTTTCCTTGAAAACTGGCAAGTGGCCCTTCTCGTGGAAAAGGGCCCACGTGATCCCCCTCCCTAAGGTTGACATCCCTAAGGGCAAGCAGGGTTTCAGAGGAATTAAGATCACGCCTGTAATTGTACGTGCGTTCGAGAAATCTGTGTATAACACCCATGCACGAGACATTGTCGAACAGCATCTGAGTTCAACACAGTTTGCTTATAAGACAGGGGGGAGTTGCACTGATGCGTTCTTGAGCATGCAGCATATCATCTACAGCTATTTAGACGAACAAGACTGCAAAGCCGTCCGAGTGTTTGCAATGGATTTTAGCAAAGCATTTGATTGTGTCAATCATGAACTCTTATCATCTAAGCTTAGGCAGTTGCCATTGAATCCCCTTATTGTGAACTGGTATTTAAGTTTTCTCGAGAAACGCCAGCAGCGAGTAGTTTATAACGGTTTTAAGGGACAGTGGCGTGAGGTTAATATGGGTACAACACAAGGCAGTGTCAGTGGGCCATACCTTTTTAACGTGTTTATTAATGATTTGGAGTTCAATCTAGAAGGTCGCCCAGCCTTGTTTAAATATGCTGATGACTCTACAATCATCGTCCCTTTTTGGGGAAACGGACAGCGTCGCACTGACTTGGTGGATCAGTTTCTTAGCTGGTCCAGCCGCAATCGCATGACATGCAATCCAACAAAATGCAAGGAGATTATTTTCCGTCAGAAAGGTTTCAATCAGGGCATCACGCCAGTTAGGGATATACCGCAGTGTGCAGAGTTATCCATATTAGGTATTACTTTCCAACAAAATTGTAAATGTAGTAGTCACGTGCGCGCGAAGGTAATTAAGGCGAACAAGTCATTATTCATATTAGGATCTTTACGTAAGGAAGGAATGTCCCAGGAGGAAGTAGATCACCTTTTTAATGCTATAGTTTTACCAAATTTTTCTTATGCACTGCCGGTTTATGGTGCCTCAGACTCCGACCTTTCTATAATACAGAATTTTTTGGACCGGTGTTTGAAAAGGAAGTTTATGTCCAAGAATGTAGATATCAGGGATTTTCTAGAGAAGGTGGACAAGGCACTCTACAAAAAAAGATCGAATGACCCCGAATGCCCGTTTTTCCAGTTTTTACCTAAGGAAAAGAACATGAGATACAATCTTAGAAATACGTCAGTCTCTGTCCCTAGAATCCACACTGAAAGGTTTAAGAACGTTTTTAGTAATAGGATAAAATTAAATATGACATGTAATAGTTTCCCTTGTGAGTTTATGTTGTAACTTGGAATATATGATTTTATCTTAAGAAATAAAGATTATGTTATGTTATGTTATGTTAAATAAACAAGCTGTTTAACTCGGGATGAATATATTGCGTTATTAATCTCAAACATACACGTGCATATCAGCCGCATACACACTATCTGCACATATTTGTCAGAACGTTTTTACAAAACGCTAAAAAAGATTAGTTTTAGAGATAATTTTAAATTAGCATGGCATTGTCAGATATAGTTTACCGGTTCAAAGTTTTTATGAACACAATCTTATGTTTCTGTCTCGATCTGTTAAAAGACGCATTAAATTAACTGCGTTCCTTGATAAACCTTGCTTAACTTTAAGTGACTTTAAATTTGACTGATTCCCAGTGGATATCGTGACTAGTACTGCAGTGAGGATAGAGCTCAAGTTTCTAAGAGGGCTTCCTTCTCCTTCTTAGTGGTTGAGCCATGAGTACTTGCATTTCGTATATTTAGTGACCAAATATGACTGGTTTTTTTTGTTTGTCAGTTTTGGCGCTGCAACTTCTTAAAACACAGCAACCATTTTTCAATTGTTGTTCCATATAAGGTCGAATACAAATAAAGACGTCTCTTTCCTAAGCACCCCCTTGGTAAGCATCTGCGTAGGAGTTAACCGATCACATAGGATCAAATTCTTTATCGAATTATACTGCAGTTTATACTCTCACTTGTGTACGTAAGCACAGGTGAGTTATTTTTCGAGACTCGCATGAAGATTACAAAACAGTCTGATAAAGTAAAGCAATTTTAAGAACTCACAAGAAAAACGCAAGAAATGACAAATGAGTTTCAGGAACATTGATAGCCGGGAGCATCCAATGCTAGGGTGTAACATTTCGTAATCTTTGATTTCAACATGAGGAGGAAACGTTATGAAAACTTGACATTTCAATTAGCCAATGAATTCCTTGCATAAATTCCCTTTTCGAGTCGCTTCCGTAATCATCAACCTGTGTTGGTCCAAGTCCAATGCTGGTATGGAGTTATCGTACACTTGTGTCGCTAACAAAGGTTATTGTTGGACAAAAATATTTAGCAGCCGTAGAATTAAGAGCGTGTCCACGAGAACCAGGCAGGAGGCGATAAATTTCAAATTACCAATTTGGCTCAAACTTGGCCTAAATACTAAGTATCACGAGTTAACAAATGCATGAAAATCATAGTTTAAAATATTTAATTCCTTGGGAGATATAGGGTCTCCTTGGGAGATGTAACGGGGCGGGCGCTGACTTCAATCGATTCTTTCGGTCTGTGAATTTCTTAACAGCGCCGCATCGGAGAATGTTTTATAAAAGACGGAACCTTCAAGCATCTATCTTTCCCAACGGATTTATTGGACTTGAGGGCTCGTAAAAACTGAAATACAACGAGCCGAATAGAGCTATTACTATAAATCTATGCTAATTGAAATGTTTTAACTCGAGCACGCGAAGCGCGCATATATATAATTCTAAACGGCACAAGTATTCTTAAACATAACAAATCTGCTTTCGATTAAATGGTGTACATTTCGGGGTCTAGATAAAGGGAACAAACGATATAACATACCTCTTTCTCCGTTCTATTACAATGATATATTCGACTATCCTTCAATCAATTTCCACTACATGCGCTTGTCACTTACACGTGTGTCGAAGGAAAGGTAATGCCGACAGCTAATCGACATGTCACATGAAACAAGGAGGTATTTACGGTCACGCAATCACAACGATGAACGGTATTCGTTACATGGCTCCCCTAAATTGCGATAGAAATTTACCAAACTAATCAAGGAAACTAAAACCAAATCAACTATTCAAGTCCAACTGTTTAAAATCAAGTCTCTACATAGGCTACAAGCCCATACAGTTCCCAAAATGGCTCCTCAGGTGGGGATTCCCCGGTCTTCTCTCTCTTCACGAGGTAACAGCAAGATAAGCTTCTGAACTGGTCTACACAGACTGGTCAGTGGTCCAGCAGGTCGACCGTTGTCGTCCAAGTTCCGGTCGGCAATCTTGATGCAAACCATATTTCCAGACCATCGGCATCATGATAAGTTTCCTCTACACGGGCGATTCTCCAACAATTTCGCGGTGAGTTGTCATCCATAACGACAACAATCTCATCCACCTGCAGTTTTCTCCGCGGGGCTATCCATTTCTATCGTGGCTGGAGAGACTGCAAGTAATCCTTTCGCCACCTATTCCAGAACTCATTGGCTAGAAACTGGACCCTACGCCATCGCTTCCTGGAGTACAAATCGGCTCGTTGAAATTCACCAGGAGGGGGCAATATTACCTTAGTTTTCATGGTAAGTAAGTGATTGGGCGTAAGGGGCTCAGGCATCTGTGAAGAATTTATCTTATGAACGGTCAGTGGGCGACAATTCGCGATAGCTTCAGCCTCCACCATGAAGGTTCTAAGGGTTTCGTCGTCAAGCTGTGCAGCATGCCGTGTAAGGAGCGACGCGAGGACATTTCGGACAGTGCGGATCTGACGCTCCCATGCCCCACCCATGTGACTTGCTTCGGGCACGTTTGTTTTGAAATCTACCCAGTCGCAGTTTCTCTTGACCAACTCTTGCCGTATCTTATTGTGTTCCAACGTGGCTAACTCCTGCTGTAGTTCATTCCTTGCGCCAACAAAATTTGTGCCTTGATCGGAGCGCAACTGTTGTACTGGGCCGCGGCGTCCTACAAAACGGCGATAAGCATTCAGGAACGAGTCTGTGGACAAACTGCTTGCGACCTCGAGATGAACAGCCCTGGACGCCAGGCATGTAAACAACACCCCGTAACGTTTCACTTCATGACGGCCTTCCTTGATATACCAGGGGCCAAAGTAGTCTACCGCACTGAAGGCAAAGGGAGGTACAGGTTCTAGGCGATCCTTGGGCAAGTTTGCCATCTTTTGTTCTTGGGGACTACCTCTCAGCCTCCGACAAGACACACATTTGGAAACGTGATTGGAAACAGCAGAGGTCCCGCCGATGATCCGATGAAGGCCGCTTGCTCTGACTTCATTCTGGGTAATACCACGACCTTGATGTTGAACTGACCTGG